AAATCTTAAAGGAGTTTTGATTTGCATTTCTCTAATTACTAAAGATGTTGAACATTTTGTCATATGTTTGTTGGTTGCTTATATATCTTCTGAGAAGTATCTGTTCACTTCCTTAGCCCATTTATTGATTGGGTTGTTTTTGTTTTTGTTTTGTTTTTTGGCACTTCTTCAACAAATGGTGCTGGGAAAACTGGAAATCCATATATGGCAAAATGAAATTAAATCTCTATTTCTCACCATGTACAAAACTCAAAGAGGATCAAATACCTAGGAATTAGACCAGACACCATAGAAGAAAAAGTAGGCCCAAATCTTTATCATGTCGAATTAGGCCCTGACTTCCTTGACAAGACTGCTAAAGCAGAAGAAATAAAATCAAGAATTAATAAATGAGATGGATTCAAACGAAAAAGCTTCTTCTCAGCAAAAGAAACAATCATTGAGGTAAAGAGAGAGCCCACACCATGGGAGCAAATTTTTACCACACACACATCAGATAGAGCACTAATCTCCATGATATATAAAGATGAGAATTTTTAATGCACAGCAATGGGAAAAGCATCCTGGGTCATGTGCCGTGCGTGGAAAATTCAAATTTTGGCTTTGGCTCCACCACCAACTTACTATGTGACTTTGAGTAAATCACTTTCCCCTTGTGGACATAAATACTCCCATTGGGAAAAAGAGTCAAGATATGATAGGTTGACTAATGGCCCCCCAAAGATATCAAGTCCTAATTACTAGAATTTGTCCTTGTTACTTTATTTGAGAAAAGGGCCTCTGCATACTGATAATCTTGAGATGCAGAGATCATTGTGGATTATCTGTATGGATCCAAAATTCAATCACAAGTATCTTAATGAATTAGAGGCAGAGGGAGGTTGGATACATACACACTGAGAAGAAAATGAGAAGATGGAGACAGAGGTTGGAGTGATGTGGCCACTAGTCCAAGATCGCTGGGGCCTCCAACAAGTAGTGGAAGAGACAAGGAAGGATTTTCCCTTAGAGGTCCCAGAGAGAGGCAACTTCAGCTGTCTTACAGTCACCTGGTCTCCAGAACTGTGAGAGAATAAATTTCAATTTGTTTAAGCCACTGAGTTTGTGTTCATTTGTTACAGTAGCCTCAGAATGCTCATCTGCATTCCATTCACAATAGCCAAGCTATAGAACCAATCTAGGTGCCCTATGACAGATGAATGGATAAAGAAAATGAGGTATATATACACAATGGAATATTACTAGGTCATAAAAAGAATGAAATTTTGGCATTTGCTGGTAAATGGATGAAACTGGAGGCTATTCTACTAAGTGAATAAGCCAATTCCCCAAAGGCAGAATGTCCTCTTTGATATGTGGATGCTACCCACAGCAAAGGAGGAGAAGATTAAGTCACTGGACTAGACAAAGGGGAATGAAGGGAAGGGGGGATGGGAATAGAAAAGACAGTAGAATGAATCAGACATATCTTTCCTATCTGCATATATGAATACATGACCAATGTACTCCACATCATGCACAGTCACAATAATGGGATCCTAATTGGAACAAGTTATACTTACTCTATTATGTATAATATTTCAAAATATACTTTCCTGTAAAAAAAATAAAAGAATATCTATCTATCTATCTATCTAAATGCTCATACACAGGCCAAGGGAAGGTGGTGTTAAGTTCAGGGGCCCACACAGCCCTCTGATCTCAGAACAGAGTCACCCTTAACTCTGGGCTGTGTATTCCTTCTCCCCAGAGCTTCACCTGACTCCCACATCTTCATCGTGTCTCATTTCCCTTCACTAATTTAAGAAATCCCAGTCCACCAAGCCCTGTGCCAGGCGTGGAGAAGCGACAGATTAAAGGATCTTAAGGAATTCACAAGAAAGATTGTCTGGGGCACCACTGGGCCCCAGAGCTGCCTCCTTTAAGTGTGTTTGCTTCTATACAAGTCAAGTGCCATAGCAAAAGTAAGCCTTCACCCAGTGCCCAGCTCTGCTGAGTTCAGGAAATGTGGTGGATGGAAATCATCCCACTGCTGCTGGGCTCCCCACATCCTGCACTCAGTCATCTTATACCTTCTGTCCTAGGTGCTGGGCTGTCATTCTGGCCCCACCTGGAAGTGGGCTTGCGGGAACTCCACCTGGGCCTTGCTTAGCTGGGTGGGGGAGGGAGGAGCCCAGCTTCCACTGCTGACAAGGGAGACCTTACAGTTTCCACCGTCGCAGCCGGGGTCAGCTATACCAGGGAACCCTGAGTTCACTGCCAGCTCACCACTGATCTTTGCTTATCGCATATAACATTCTCATAAAAGAGCTAGGGTTTTCCCCAGACTTCGTCAGAACCCAAATGAGGTTGGGGAGGGGAGTTAGCTGGATATGTGTTCAGCCACAGGCAGATGTTTCTAAAAGATTAAACTGTTAGGCCGGAGAGTGTCGTCTGTAAGTGGGAACATGCTATCTCCCATTTCCATAAAGAATTCCCACTGGTGTCCAGGAGGGGAGAAACAGTAGGAGGAGAAATTACAATTCCTCTTTCCCTTTCCCTTGCTGCCCCTCATTGGAGGAGGATAAGTTTCCATGCTTGACAGGCTGAGGAGAGTTCATCCTTTGTCCTCCATTAGGCCACGTTAACCTATTGGGTCCACCTCTCCTGCCTTCCTGGGAGAACCTAGACCTCACAGCAATGGCATTTGGGCCCGAGACCTGTGTGATAAGGTAGCTAAGTGGGTTTTTATTTTTCAGATAGGTCCTTGACCTTGATAACCTGGCAATGCACCATCCCAATGTGCTGGTGGCTGTCTCCCCAGTGGGCTGATTGCAAATAGCAGAAATAAACCATATATCTGTCAGCTGAAGTTCTATCTCTGAAAAGCCCCGTTGCTGTCATTGTGTGGAAGAAAGCACAAAGCATTAAGACAGGTGAGGCAACAGTTCTTGCCAAAATACAGGAAAAAAAAATGTGACATTTTTGCTTTTTTTCCATCTAGCATTGTACAGTTCCAATCACGGTGCAGTTTCCATAGTAGAATTAATCAGTCTGCTCTTCTTTCTGCTTTTTAAATACCTTCCAAGTCGTTCCTAATAGAAATGCTATGGTATTGTAGTTGGAAGCCTTTCTTTCCTTCCCGCATTTTGGATTATTATCTTAGGATAGATTTCCAAAAGTTGGTCCCAAGTTCCCCTGGACACTTTACACGTTCTTCTCTGACTCCCAAATTGAGCCTTTAGATGTGCTCCGATGTCCCTTTGCGTGACGGCCGAGTGGCAGAGGCTTCTCTGGTTGTCTTAGTGGTTTTCTTTTTATCTCCTGTGTTTGAAGGAGGGCCCAGCAGCTGACCTAACTCTCTCTCTCTCTTTCTCTCTCTCTCTCTCTCTTTTTTTTTAACTGGGGATTAAAACCCAGGGGCAATTTACCACTGAGCTATATCTCAAGCTGTTTTTAATTTATATTTTGAGACAAAAAATTGCCAAATTGCTAAGGTGCCTGGCTTCCTCTTGCCTCAGCCTCCCGAGTCATTACAGGTGTATACTACTGTGTGCCTGGACTGTGCCCAACTGAGATTACCTGCCTTGCCATTTGTGCAAACCCTTCAGCAATGTGACCCCCGCCCCCAACCCTTGCCCTCATTTCCCTATCCATAAAACCTTAAATTTATTGTCAATCCCTCAAAGACAGTTCTAAGGACATGAGTCCCCTATTTCTTCCTGATGTAGTTACACTAATTAAAGCTCCTTTCCTCCTTTTTTTTGGGGGGGTGGTGGTGGAACCCAGGGGTGTTTATCCCTGAGCCATATCCCAGCACCTTTTATTTTTTTGTTTAGAGAGAGGGTCTCACTAAGTTGCTTAGGGTCTCTCTAAGTTGAGGCTGATTTTGAACTCGCAATCCTCCTGCCTCTGCCGCCCCAGCCACTGTGATACCAGGTGTGTGCTTCCACACCCTACTCCTTTCCTGCTTTTTACCATTACTTTATCCTTTGGGTTTGGGAAGCAAGTAACTGGGTACGATTTGTTGACACCTCCAGAGTCAGGCCTCTGGAAACATTTTCAGCTACTTTTTCACTTTCATGAGTTCTGTCTTAACACATCTTTTTTTTTTTAGCAAATTTTCTCCCAAACTTACTAGGTCCTGAGGGATGGTGATGACCTCTATCTGCTCCTACTCCAGATTTGGGTTGAAAAGCTAGATGGAGTCAATGGAAGAGTGAGGATAGGAGGGGCAGGGGGACCCAGCTCACTGGTAGAGTGTTTGCCTAGCATCCATGAAGCCCTGGGTTCCATTTCAGCTCTGGAAGAAAAAAAAAAAATAAAACATTTAAAAAGGAAAAAGCTACTGTTGCCTAAAAGCATGTCATGGGCTCCACCCTTCAGACTGACATTATTATTATTATTTTTTCCTCACAAGCACTCCAGAAGGAAGCTGTACATTTTCCATACAAACAAGCTAAGAATGGAAGACCAATGAGCTGTGAGCCCAACTGCATTCCAAAATCAAAGAGCAGCGATGCCTACGATCTTCACTGGTTCCCACACTCTATATCTCCCAGACTTTTCTAAGATTCCTAATCTGGCAAGATCTTTTCTATCAGTGAGTTTTTAATCAAAACTATGCTGCATAGCAATGACAAAATCTCAGTTATGCTTAAAAAGAATTCATAATTGTTATTATTAATGCCAAGTGTATCTAAATTGCTCATGCAACCCCGGGTGGCCGGCGAGGCAGCCCAGTTGATCTTTGATAGTATATTGGTCTGTTTTATGTTGCTAATAACACAATATTAAACAATGGATAAGTTCTAAAAGAGAATCTTGGACTGGGGTTGTAGCTCAGGGGTAGAATGCTTGCCTAACATTTGTGAGGCACTGGGTTCGATCCTAAGCACCACATAAAAATAAATAAAAAACAAAACAAAACAAAGGTCCATTGACATAAAAAAATTAAAAAAATAAAAGAGAGTCTTCCTCCTCATAAAAGCCCTTCAGCTCACTTGCACCTGATTGGCCAAAGAAAGTTACATGAATGACAGTGACAGTCAGAGGTACTGCAAAGTCATATAAAAAAAATGTGTGGACACAGGAGGACTGAGAAGAAATGAGCCACACAGAAACCTCCAGAACGAAGGGTCTATTAAGGTATGTGTTGATAATCAGCTTTGGGAAAGGAGGGGATGAGTAGGCAGGGACACTTTTATGTCCTTAGGGAGAGGCACAGAAAAGGCTGATATTTTAGAGATAAATTTTAAGAAACTTTGCATGTCTTCAGAGCCCACAAACTGCATGTGTCTTAGAGGCTGCCTGTGGCTGTGGCTGAGAGAAGCAAGTCAGCGAGCCATGCCATTTTCTCTGCAGGACATAGGAGGGAATCAAAGCTCATACATGAGTGAAAAGTAGATAAGAAAAGATACCTCCTTTCATTAAGCATTTGGGGAGACTTGGTCTTAATATATAGAATATACTTTATTTTGATCATCTCATTGGGCTCAATGTGTTCTCTTTTATGCTTTTCAGTGAAGAAACATGTATGCATGTATGCGTGTATATGTGTGTGTGTGCGTGTGTGTGTATGTGTGTGCAGGGAATTGAACCCAGACTTGTGCATGCTGAGCATGCACTACCATTGGCCTATATTCCTGGGCCCTATAATTTTTTATACAACTGAATTGCAGTTTTCATTAGGTTTACTACTAGTGAATCTGGTGATTTTCATTTTTAGTACAATTGGGATCACTTTTTTTTTTCCCTAGTGCATTTCAAACTTAGCTATTTCTGGTGCTTAGGAAAGCAATTAAAAGAATGAGCTAAACTTATGAATATCACGTTGATGTATCTCTAAAATACAAAATGAGAAACATTCTGTCATCTGTGTAACTTCAAATCGAACACAGAACAATATTACATATAAGCATGAAAAGAATGGGGGGGTAAGGAAAGAGAGAGACTGAGAGAGGGACAGAGAGAGAGAGAGAGAGAGAAGAAAATAATGAAGGAAAGCAAGAAAGAACGTGGAGAGGGAGGGAGAGGAAAAGGGAGGGATTGGGCCTTTCTGACCTTATTGAACTTTATTTACCTTCTAAAAGGTACGATCTCCAAACACGGTCACTTTGAGGGCGAGGACTTCAACATGTGCATTGGGGAGGGGACACAATTGGGTCCATAACATACACAACATTTGTTTAAATAAAAATATTTTTAAGGAATGAGTGACTTTGCGGTACCCTCTTATGTGTCTCTTTGACCAGGTCCCCTGCCTTGATGGATTATACCCTTGAGCCCAACCTGACGGTGACGTCCGACTACTACTATCCTGACACCTTCTCGAGCCCCTGCGATGGGGAACTTATCCAGAGAGACAGCAAGTTGCTTCTTGCCATCATCTACTGCTTCCTGTTTGTATTTGGCCTTCTGGGAAACAGCCTGGTTATCCTGGTCCTTGTGGTCTGCAAGAAGCTGAGGAGCATCACGGACATATACCTCTTGAACTTGGCCTTGTCTGACCTGCTTTTTGTCTTTTCCTTCCCCTTTCAGACCCACTATCAGCTGGATCAGTGGGTATTTGGGACCGTCATGTGCAAGGTGTTCTCTGGTTTTTATTACATTGGCTTCTTCAGCAGCATGTTCTTCATCACCCTCATGAGCATGGACAGGTACCTGGCTGTTGTCCACGCCGTGTATGCCATAAAGGTGAGGACGGTCAGGACGGGCACAGTCCTGAGCCTGGCAGTGTGGCTGATCACCATGATCGCCACTGGCCCATTGCTAGTATTTTACCAGGTGGCCTCTGAAGATGGTGTTCTCCAGTGTTATTCATTTTACAATCAACAGACATTGAAGTGGAAGATCTTCATCCACTTTGAAATAAACATCTTAGGCTTGTTGATCCCATTCGCCATCCTCCTGTTCTGCTATGCCAGGATCCTGCACCAGCTAAAGACTTGCCAAAACCACAACAAGACCAAGGCCATCAAGTTGGTGCTTATTGTGGTCATCGCATCTTTACTCTTCTGGGTCCCATTCAACGTGGTCCTCTTCCTCACGTCCCTGCACGACATGCACGTCTTGGATGGGTGCATCCTGAACCAGCAGCTGATTTATGCCACCCATGTCACAGAAACCATTTCCTTCACTCACTGCTGTGTGAACCCTGTTATCTATGCTTTCATGGGTGAGAAGTTCAAGAAATGCCTCTCAGAAATATTTCAGAAAATTTTCAGCTACATTTTCCCCTCCATGGGAAGACAGATGCCCAGGGAGGGGTGGGAAAGGCGGTCATCTTCCCACCCTATGGCCTCCCGCTCCTCCAGCATAGACTACATTTTGTAAGGGGGGGGCGTGCCTCCAAGTGTCCTCTGCCTTCATTGCCACTTTTCTCTAAAGAAATAAAAATGACTTCCGTGGGGGCTGTGAAGCCATGTAGGAAAACTCTTAGGAACTTTGGTTTAAGATACAGACATATTTTATATATTTAATCCATTCCTACTATTGCAAGTTAATCTCAACTTTCAAAAACATTGGTACTATTCTGGAAATATTCTACATATTCCACTTTTTTTATTTTTTAGCTTTAGGAGGATGCAATATCTTTATTTTATGTTTATGTGGTGCTGAGGATTGAACCCAGTGCCTCATGCATGCTAGGAGGGCACTCTACTGCTAAGCCACAACCCCAGCCCCTCGACTACTAATTTTAATGCTAGCAGTAGGGTATTTTTTTAAAAAAATATTCTTAATCCGGTGCAGTGGTGCACACCTGTAATCCCAGCTACTTAGGAGACTGAGGCAGGAGGGTCACAAGTTTGAGGCCAGCCTCAGCAACTTAGCAAGAACTTGTCTCAAGAGACAAAACAAACCAACGCCTTCCACAAAACCAAACCATAATCTTGATATTGAAGAACTTCTATTCTTGCTTCTTTGATGTCTTTATTAGGCACAAATTTAAATGTTATCAAATCCCTTTTTCTTATCTATTGATGTAACCATATAATTTTCCACCACTGTTAATTTGGTTTATTACACTGATTTTAGTATCTTAAGTCAACCTACATTTTTCCTGAAAAATTAAAAATGACCCTTTGGTCTTGGGATTCTTATATCTGTGTTCATTAGTCTTGAAGTTTCCTTTCTTTTCATGACCTGGTCATATTTGGCCTCTTAAAATGTATTGGGAAGTACGCCCCTTTTCTCCAGTTTCTGAAACACTTTGTGTACAAATTTGATATGATGTCCTCCTTGAATGTTTGGTAGAATTCACCAATGAATTTATCTGGGGTTCCTCTCCAGGAGAATTTCAAATTATGCACACATGTTCGGTGACAGTCTATTCAGTTTCCCCTCCCTTCCTTCTCTTTTTTCTATCACCAGCCCTTTCCATTTTTATATCGTGAGACAGGGTCTTACCAAGATTCCAAGGCTGGCCTTGAACTTGCAATCCTCTTGACTCCTTCTCCCAAGTTGCTGAGATTACAGGCATGCCTGGATAGACTATTCAGATTTTTTAGTTTTGCTTGTCTCAGTTTTGAAAAGTTGTGATTTCATTTTATTTGTCAAGTCTACTAGCATTATACTGTCCTTAATATTTTCTCATTACCTTTTAAATACATGAGGAGCTAAGTAATGTCCCTTTTCAGCCCTGACACTGACAACTAGTGTTCTCTTTCTCTTTTAGATCAGTCTTTGGGGCTTATCAGTTGTATTAATCGTTTAAAAGAACCAGCTTTGGCTTTGTTGGTTTCCTGCCTCATCTGTTCCTTGATTTCTGCTCTTATCTTCATCTTTTTTGCTTTCTTTGAGCTTAATTTACTGTTTTATATTAGTTTCTTGAAATAAAACCTTCCATCATTAATTGCCAATTGTTGTTCATATATTTAAATCTACAAGCTGAGTGCAGTGGTGCATGCCTATAATCCTAGCAGTCTGGGAGGTTGAGGCAGGAGGATTGTGAGTCAGTCTCAGCAACTTAGTGAGGCCCTAAGCAATTCTGTTTCTAAATAAAATTTAAAAGGGGCTGGGGATGTTGTTCAGTGGTAAAACACTCCTGGGTTCAATACCCAATACAACAACAAAAAAAAATCTACAAAATTCCCTTAAAGCACTGCCTTAGGTGTATCGTGTACATTTTAATGTAATAGATCTTCATTATTTTTTCAGTTTAAATTATTTTCTATTTTCCATTATGTTCTCCTGCTTATAATCATGAGTTACTTAGAAATTAATTTTAAATTTTGAAACATATGCAGACTCTATATATGTGTTCACTTTCAGTTATTTGAAATTTGTTGAGAATTATTTTATGATGCAAGATTTGGTTTGTTTCAATAAGTGTTGCATTACACTTAAAAAGAATGGCCATAGTAGGGAGGGAAAGGGGGTCATGAACTGAAATCAATTTCCATGCATGTATGAGTTTATTGGGACGAAACCAACTACTATGTTTAAATATAAAGCTCTGAGGGAAAAAAGAAAGAAAAAGAATGGTTGTATTCTGAAGTTGTTGTCCATAGCTGATTAATTAGATTGTTCAAGACTTCTATACTCTTGCAGGCTTTTTCTTTTGCTTACTCTGTGAGTAACTAAGAGAAGTACATTAAAATCTCTAGCTGTGGTTGTGAATTGTCTATTTTTTTCATTTTAATTTAGCTTATTTTTTCAGTGTATATTTTAAAGCTACCTTATTAAGTACATACAAATAGAAGATTGTTATGCCTTTTTATTGAATTGGTCCCTTTATCATTTTGCAATATCTCTTTTCTCCAGCAATACTTCACTAGGCCCAACCTCTTAAAAATTCCTCATGTCGCAATAGCACCAAGCTGAGATCAGGTCTTTAACAGATGGACTTTTTTTTGCGGGGGGGGGGGGGGGGGGCGGTGCTACCAGGAATTGAACTCAGGGGTACTTGACCACTGAGCCACGTCTCCAACCCTATTTTGTATTTTTTATTTAGACACAGGGTTTCACTGAGTTGCTTAGAGCCTTGCTTTTGCTGAGGCTGGATTTGAACTTGCTATCCTCCTGTCTCAGCCTCCTAAACCACTGGGATTACAGGCATGTGCCACCGCACCCAGTATTAGGAATTTTTGAGGGACAATTCAGATCCAATTCGTAAAGTCTACTCTATTCAGCATAGAAACACTGGCTTTCTTTTCATAAGTATATGCATTGCTTAAACCAAATTACTATCCTATGACTAAATGACCTCTTTTGTAAGTATAATTTAGTTGGTGTAACAGAGAGGATCGTATTACCACAAGGATATATACAAAATCCAAAAATTGATAGACTCTGCTGGAGGCACACCCTTGTAATCTCAGCTACTTGGAAGCCTGAGGCAGGAGGATTAGAAAACTGAGGCCAAACTGGGCACCTTAGCAAGAACCTGTCTCAATACTTTGCCCCCTGCCTCCTGGGTTCAGTTCTCAGAAGAGAGAGAGAGAGAGAGAGATAGAGAGAGAGAGATCTAAAATATCACTTTTAGGTAAAATATTCTCTACAAAAGACTGACTTTACAATGTTTTTTTTATCTTTTATTTTCTAGTTTAACAATATAATTTTAATTACAGACAATAATACATTCTGCAAGGTTAGTGATCTACATGGGATGGTATGTGTTAGTAAACTTTCTTTTGCTAGAACAAAATACCTAAGATAATCAACTTAAAAGGAGGAAAGGTTTATTTTGGTTCACAGTTTTGGAGGTTTCAGTTCACTGTCACTTAGTTCTGTCATTCTTGGGCCTGTGGCAAGGCAGGACATCAGAGCAGGAGCACATGGAAAAGGAAACTGCTCATCTCATGGCATCTGGGAAGCAAAAAGAGCAAGAAAGGGGAGGGAACTGGGGACTGGATATGCCTTTCACTAGGCCCAATCTCTTAAAAATTTTTCATATTGCAATAGCACCACACTAAGATCGATGAACCCTTTTCTTTCTTTCTTTTTAAATAATTTTTAGTTGTCGATGGACCTTTATCTTATTTATTTACATGTGCTGCTCAGAATCAAACCCAGGGCTTCACACATGCTAGTCAAGTGCTCTACCACTGAGCCACAGCCCCAGCCCAACATGTAGACTCTTGAGGGACAATTCAGATCCAAACTACAGTATCATGAGCAAGATTCCCAAACTATAGAATCATGAGCAAGGCAGGAGGATTGCAAGTTGAGACCAGTTTGGGCAACTTAGTGAGACCCTGTTTCTAAAGGTATATATATATATATATATATATATATATATATATATATGACGTGACGGGGTTGTGACTCAGTGCTTACCTGGCATGTGCAAGGCACTGGGTTCAATCCTCAGCACCACATAAAAACAAATAAGTAAAATAAAGGTATTGTGTATCGGACGGGGGACCATGGCCAGCGACTCATTAAGGGGTCCTTCTTCCTGCCAAGGATAATCCAAGCCACCCTAAGACTTACAGTCTCAAATAATTAAAATAACAAAGCACAAATACTCAGAAATATTTACAGAAAACGAATCCCCTGATAGATCTAGTCCACATGGGTTCTGGAACTAGATAGTTCCAGTGGTTTAAGGTTTCAAGGGCGGAGCCTAGCTTCCCCATGTCTTGCAGTCTGCAGCTTGATTGACATCTTGGCAGGTCACACCCATCTCAGGTGCTGGGTGGGATCTTAGGTAGAGCTTGAAGGGGAAGTTCATCTGTATCAGGCAATCTATCCCTGTGGGGGGTGCCACCAGAGTTCCCAATGCCAAACTTATCCCCTTAGGAGCCTACTATGAGCAACAGTCCACACACAGCCCATGAACTGACGGCTCGTGACAATTGTGTTCAACTAAAACAAAATTTAAAACACACACACACATACACACACACACACATAATAATAATAATAATAATAAGAAGAAGAGGACTGGGGATATAGCTTGGTGGTAAAAAGCCTCTTGGTTCAATCCCCAGCATCTAAGCTAAATTAAACTAAGCTAATTCTAACCTGAGGAAGAAATCCATCAGTTGTTATGTTATGATTGGGGTCTATTGTAACCAGAAAGTAGCATTAAAACTTATTTGATAAGGGAGAAAGAGAGGAGTATAGTTAACCTAAGAGACTGCCAATCTGGAATCCCAAGTGTAGGATATCCCCAAGTCCTGGGCTCTTCCTACTCTACCTCCCACATGGGCCAGTAAATCCACTGTCCTGCTCACACAGGCCCAGTGCTTCTCAGCCTGGCCGCCCTACTGCCCCGCCTAGAGCCAGCCACGCCCTGTGGACCAGGATTAAGAGGACATTGCCTTCACCCTAGTGTAACCAGGATCTGTTGGGGACAGGACACAAGCTCCCTCTAGTGGTCTATTTGAGCTGAGTCCTGATTGTATAAAGAATGATGGACAAAAAAGAAAGGGAGGAAAGGGAATTTAGCATATAAAATCGGGAGGTGGTGGCAGCAGCTGGAAAACTACTAATCTAGAAATTCTGTCTTAAGATTCTTGGTAAAATGCAGGGGTTTTTTTTGTACTTGGATTTTATATACTGGAGATTTCACTCAAGACTGCTAATTAAGTCCTATAAACCTGTTAATCCCCCTTGAAGGTCCTACTCTATAGACAGACCTCATTTGAACAGACCCCCAAAACCCGTGGGTGTTAAAGGAGGGGATACACTTGTTCACCCTAAAGAAAGTCCAGAGATCCTTCCTTTCCGTTCAAATCAGTGCATGTCAGATTAGTATTTCCCAGTTGGTTGACAGAAACAGTAGCATCCTGATTTCACGGACAGCTCACTCCTCCTCTGTGACCCTTACACCACTGATTGCTTCCCCTTCCTGGAAGTATCTCTTTAGCTTGAAGGGATCCTGAGGGAAGAGGGCTTTCCCGAGGTCCTCCTCTGGTCAAGTGCCTTCTGATCTGGACCATCCTAAGGGTCAGACACCATCCTGAGGTCCTCTTACAGACCTGGACATTTTTTTTCTAGTCCAAATGATAGAAGATGCTCTTGCTCAGGTTCACACAGACAGAAAGACCTGGCTTCAGTACGTCCTCATCTGCTTGTTCCAGCCTAGGCTCCGGCTGGAAGGGCTGCCTGGGTAGGGCACAGATGGCCATCCCAGCCAGCAGGGCCAGTTGGAAAGCGGCTACCAAGTTCTTGTTTACCGAAATGCAGAGGAGACCGGCCTCATTCTACCAGCTCCCTGGGTCGAAGCTCCCCCAACCACTGGTCCAGGGTGTGGCCTGTACTTTGTGGGAATTCTTCCCCTTTGATATCCACCCTCCTAAACTGTAGAGGAGTAAGAAGTGGACCTTAAGAATGAGAAGGGGGAAACTATTCTCATTCAGTGGTTGCCACATGCCAAACCCTGTACCACCAAGAACTTGGGCTATGTTAACTCCCCAACCCAACTGGGGATCAAACCCAGGGCCTGCCCCCTCCCTCTGCCAGCCTTGGCTATGTTAAGGTAATGGTCACAAGAACTTTTAGAAGAGAGTGTTTCTTCCTGCTTTATAAATGAATCAACAAACGACCCAACTGGAAACGTAAGATCGAGAGTGAGGTGTTTGCCTGCAGAGCCGGTGCTGTTTTCCCTGCATCATTATATTGACAATAATTCAGGAGGGAACACAGATCCATCAGAATTTGAGAGTGAGGATAGAGCTGGGGCAGAGGGCTTGCCCTGTTTGAGCAGGTGCAACTCCCTCTACACACCTTGGTCTTTTCTTTGCATTTGTTTTGTCCCCAATTCATCTGCTCCACACCGAGTGGGACAGTACTGTGGTGCTGGCTGGAAGAGAGCCCTTGGGCATCTCACTTCACCAGTACCTGGCCATGTGGAGTACAGGGCCGGCTTCTTCCCTTTCTCCCCTCATGTGGCCCTACCGGATTATCCATGGAGGTGCACTAAGGACCATGATAGACACCACGTTTTTCATGACAGCCAACAGTCTTTACAAGAACAATGAACATCACCATCAAGAGGTCTGTTTCCTTGTCTGCGTTCAAGTTAGAAGTAGGCTGGTAGAGGGTCATTCCATGGGTTATGGTGGGAAGTAAAGGTTCACACAACAATCCTGACCCTAAAGAGTTTTCTGCTTTTGATTTTTAACTTGGAGCAATCTGAACTTTTTAGATGAGTCTTCTTCCCAAGGACCTGAAGCTTGAAGATGACTTATTGTGTTCAAACATATATTCTACAGAGAGCCAGACATAGTGGCTCACACCTGTAAACCCAGCTACTTGGGAGGTTGAGGCAGGAGGATCATGAGCTTGACGCCAGCCTGGGCAATTTAGCAAGACTCTTTCTCAAAATTAACATTTTTTAAAAAGGGCTGGAAATTTAGGTCAGTGCTTGCCCAGCATATGTGAGGCCCTGTGTTTAAACCCCAGTACCACAATAAATAAATAATGTACATATAAATATTCTATTATAAATATTCTGCATAGAATGATGATGAACTATGTTTCACTGCCTACGGTTGAGAGAAAACTGATCAAGATGCTTATAAATAAATACTTAACTCAGTTTACAAATAATTACTGAGCCCCTATGTAATGATGATTTCTCACATTTTATTATCTATGAAACACTTCTATATACATTGTTTTATTTGCTCTTTACAATAACCCTGGGAGGTTAGGTAATGTTACCTTCA